TAGGGGACTGAAATATAAAGAAAAAGGCTTTGTAGGGGGAATTCAAGGGTAAATTCAAATTCAGGCTATTCTGATTACTTGTACTAGGACCTTCTCAGATCCCAGCACTTGACTGGGTGTGCTAAAGCTTGACACACACTCCTCGTTCCTTTCCCCCTGCGGTGGCACCCAAGCCTTCTTGTGCTCATTGTGCCCCCTGGTCAAGGGATCACTTGACTCTGTTTCTTCTCTGTCATGAACCATGCACTCCCCTTTGGCCTGCGTTTTACTCTTCTTACTTGTATGGATAATTCCAGGTCATAAAATTAAGGGATGTGTGTACACATGTGCACGTACATATACCCCATCCTTAATTCACACTGTATCTCTCTCCAGCTCTTTCTAGAAAACTTAGGGAAACTTATATCTTTGCTTTTTACTCTCTCATTTTGTCGCATTTGTGGCTGAAATAGCCCTCATTATGGCTAATCAGTGACATGGGATGACACCTTTCGGAGGAAAATGTAAGCCGTGCGGTCAGGACACTTTTAGAGAAGCAGGGACCTTGCTTGTGAATAATCAAAACTATCCCTTTTGTTTTGCACAAAGATCTTCATGTCTGCCTTTCCAAGCACCTCTGTGTAAATTTCTTCACCGACTATATTCATGACAACCATAAAATTAAGTAGTAACTCATTTTTATTTTTAAATTTAAAGTTTCTCAACATGTGTAGTACACTAGGGGTTATATTATTGGTTTAAGAGGCTTTCATATCTCAGTTATGTTACATGAAATGCATTCTGAGTTCCAAGAAACGCTGACTTTTTTTTTTTATCCTCACCCGAGGATATTTTTCCATTTTCTTTTTATACAGATAGAGTGGGAGGGAGGGAGAGGAAGGGAGAGAGAGAGAAACATCGATGTGAAGGGACACATCGAGTGGCTGCCACCCGCACAACCAACCAGGGCCGGGGACAAACTGCAACCGAAGTACGTGCCCTTAGCGGGAACCGAACCCGGGTCTCTCCGGACCGCAGGCCGACGCTCTAACCGCTGAGCCAAACTGGCCAGGGCGAAACGCTGACTTTTTAAACAACCTTCGACTTTATTAAAATCATGTCAGGATGTGTTTTTGTCCCAGCTGACCATAGGGGGGCAGTATAGGCACATTTATTTCACTTTAAAAATAGGTTCTGTTATTTAGAGCTGCAAGTTGAAAAAATTAATGTCAGGTTCAGTAACTGATTTTCTTTGCTTGTCTTAACTCTGGTAGTAAATATAATTAACATTTGAATAGAAATGGTAATTGTTTCCTGTGTGATATACGCTTTTCTTTATAACATGTATTTGACACAGAATAGCCTAGTCTACAGAGTTAACCTTGATTAAAATTGTAATTTAAAAATCCCTTTTAATTCCCATCCTAGCAAATGTTTTCATGGGCCCTAGCTGTCTCTGGAGCTCGCTGACCTGTGCAGCCTTGACCTGCCAGTATAACTGAGTAAGCTTTGGGCAAGGTGTGCTAACATGGAAAAGCCACATTTGGTACATGTTGAGAAACTTTTTTTTTTTAATCTTTATTGTTGAAGGTATTACAGATGTCCCCCATTTTTTCCCTCATTGATCCCCTCCTCCCTGCACCCACCCCTCTGCTTTCCCCAAACTATTGTCTGTGTCCATTGGTCGTTTTTAATTAATTAATTAATTTATTTATTTTTTAATCCTCACCCTAGGATATTTTTTTCATTTATCTCTAGAGTGAAAGGGGGAGGGGGGAGACAGAGAGAGGGAAACATCAATGTGAGAGAGACACATCGATTGGTTGCCTCCCGCGTGACCCCAACCAGGGCTGGGGACAAACCACAACCGAGGTAAGGAATCGAACCCAAGACTCTTTGGTCCGTGGGTTGATGCTCTAACCGCTGAGCCAAACTGGCCAGGGCTCCATTGGCTGTTGTTTTTTGTTTTTTTTTTATCCTCACCCGAGGACATTTTTCCATATTTTGTTCAGATAGAGTGGAGGGGGAGAGAGAGAGAGAGAGAAACATCGACGCGAAAGGGACACATTGAGTGGTTGCCACCTGCACAAGTCAACCAGGGCTGGGGACAAACTGCAACCAAGGTACGTGCCCTTAGCGGGAACTGAACCCGGCTCTCTCTGGACCGCAGGCCGACACTCTAACCACTGAGCCAAACCAGCCAGGGCCATTGGTTGTTTTTTAATAAGCCAAATAAATATTTGAATGAAGAGAATGAAGGGTATTTCTTCTTTAGCCAGCAGCCTGATTCATCTTTATCCCTCCATTCTATTCATTCATTCATTCTTTCACTCATTCAGTAAATACTTAGGTACCTACCAAGGTCTGGCAGTTGCTATACTTTATCTTTCATTCAAAGTCCCACCATTTGAAAAATCTTAGGACTACAAATGGGTCAGGAAATCATGGATATCTGGATGGAGCCCAGTCAAGTGTATCTGGCCACTCTTCCTTAGACCCCCTCTACCACTGTCTGTGTTAGAAGACACAGAACAACAGGGATTGTTCTGAATGAGAACTCAACTCGGATACGTAAACTTCCACAGCACTGGATTCACAGGCCTCTCCAGCAACTAAATTTCTGGTAATAACAACAACAGAATACACCCAACCTCCCATTTATTTATTCATTTATTTATTTTGGTGATCACATTTGCCAAATAAAACTTTTACTAAAGCTGTTTACTTTTTTTTTTTTTTTTTTTATCCTCACCCGAGGACATTTTTCCACTTTTTTGTACAGATAGAGCGGGAGGGAGAGAGAGGAAGAGAGAGAGAGGGAAACATCGATGTGGAAGGGACACATCGAGTGGCTGCCACCCGCATGACCAACCAGGGCCGGGGACAAACTGCAACCGAGGTACATGCCCTTAGCGGGAACCGAACCCGGGTCTCTCCGGACCGCAGGCGGATGCTCTAACCGCTGAGCCAAACCGGCCAGGGCTAAAGCTGTTTACTTTTTAATTTAGGCTCTAAGTTGATTGTAGTGTTGTACCGTACACCAAACGGTTGTGGGTTTGATTCTCAGTCGGGGCACCTATGGGTGGCAACCAATTGATATTTCTCACATCGATATTTCTCTCTAAAATTACTGGAAACATGGGTGAGGATTTAAAAGAAAAAAAAATGTCCTGCTCAATGTGGCTCAGTTGGTTGGAGTGTTGTCACGTGTACCAAAAAGTTGTAGGTTCGATCTTCGGTCTGGACACATACCCAGGTTGTGGTTTGTTCCACTGTCGAGGCACCAGCAGGAGGCAACAGATTGATGTCTCTCTCTCTCTCTCTCTCTCTCTCTCTCAGATGTGTGTGTGTGTGTGTGTGTGTGTGTGTCTTTCTCTCTCCCCACTCCTCCTCTCTAAAATAAAATTTTTAAAAAAATTAGCAGATGTCTTAGGAAAAAGAATTAAATATGCACCATCAGTCAAACGGCATCTTTCTTGAAGAGAGTACAACCAAAATAATTTTGAGTGATACAGATAATATCAAGAAATCAAATTAGGTGAAACTAGTCACAAACAGGACCAAAACTTGTGAATCGTATAAGCATTTGGATTTTGGATTGTGGTTCAACAAGTGAGACTATAGAATTACTGGATTATGATCAAGGTTTGAACTTTGGGGTATATAAGGAGTGATACAGAATTATCAGTGGTTTTCTGAAGATTGTGGATTTGAATAAATGTTAGAAATGAATACATGTACAACATCAAGAAAAAGCCAAAAGGAAAATGGCTAACATCTACAAACATCTAATTATTTTTCATCCTTACCTAAAAATATGTTTTGTTGATCTGAGAGAGTGAGAGAGAGAGAGAGAGAGAGAGAGAGAGAGACATCGATGTGAAAGATCAATGTCCCGTACGTGTCCTGACCAGGACCAAACCTGCAATCTAGGTATGTACCCTGACCAGGAATCAAACTCAAAACCTTTTGGTGTACGGGACAACACTTCAACCAACTGAGCCACTCAGCCAGGACTTCAGACATCTAATTTTGAGATGTGATGTAGCACAGTGGTTAAGATCATGGGCTTTGGGGCCCGCCTGCTCGGGTCATCAGTTCCAGGCTTTGCTCCTTACTAGCTCTGGGGCATAGGTCATGTAGTTTAACTCTTCTGAAAGGTAGGGATAATCATAGGACCTACCATGAGCATCTTATGAGATCATATGTTTAATTGCTTACAACAGTGTCTGGGTGCAAAGTAAACTTGTAAGAAATACTAACCATTGCTGTCTGTTTGTTTTAAAGCATGTTGTCTCCACAGTGACATTTTCCAAGGGAGATATTGCGGCAGAAGGATGTTGATTCTTTCTCTGAGAGGTGTCTTGGCTCTGCTAGGCTACAATCATGAATACTCACTGCCTGTGTATTTTTAATATTGTTCATTGTGCATAAAGACCTTCTGAATCTTTTGTGTTGCAGGGAATGATTATTTAGATTGTGTGTCATTGTTTTGGTTCTCTGGTGGTTTCCTGAATTAATATTTGATTGTAGGATCCATGGGTTAAAACTTTCCTTTTAATGGGCTGAGCAACAGTGCATATGTAAAATATGCATATGTAAAATATGAATTTAAGTTGTTACTTGCCTTATAGGCATTTGGATGAGAAACTCTTCTCCTATTCTGGAGTGTGATGGACAGTGCTTAGATCTACATACTGGTCTTTGCCTGCCTTTATTTTCGGCTTTGATAAAAACATGCATAATCAGAGGGGATGCTAAAAAAAAGTCCCCTTTTCCACTTCTGTCCACCAGCACCCTCACACCATTTTAGATCTTTCCACTTTTGTTCAAAGGAGAACCTTTTGTAACAAGGGGAAAGTCTGGGATTTCTTTGAGATGTGTGGCAGGTAATGTTACCCATATGCTATCAGGCTAACAAATACTAGGGCATAATTGTGTTTCTTAGATCATTTTTCATGCATGTTTTGTTGGAGGAGAATTTCAGAACATCTATCTAATTTTTTTCTTTTTCTTTTTAGAAACTAACAAACTAGAACTATATCAAGGCGCAGGAACTTTTCCTTCCGGGTATTATTACAAAGATCAGTGGAGGCCTAGAAACTTTAAGATTCGCCAATTTAATGACCCTGACAGCATTACAGAATGCTTACAAAGAAAAGTGGTATATTTATTTGGTGACTCAACAATCAGGCAATGGTTTGAATACCTAACTACATTTGTTCCAGGTTGGTACTTTGCTTTTTGTTTCATAAATCTTTCAATCATGCACAGTTCAGCTTTGCTAGAAGCAGATTCACTTGGGTGCCTGAAGAAAGGCATCAAGTGAAAAAGTAGTTCTCTGTCAGACTAAAGAGGCATCCTAACCCGGGAAAGACGTGTGGACAGTTCTTGATCAGTGGTGGGGCTGTGATGTATCGACGGAAGTACTGGGTTCTTGTTGAAGTTTATACCACTGATTAGCTGTGTGACCCTGGACAGGATATTTCCTTCTTTTTTTTTTTTTAATCCTCACCGGAGGATATTTTTCCATTTATCTTCAGATAGAGTGGGAGGAAGGGAGTGAGGAAGAGAGAGACAGGAAGAGAGAGAGAGAAACATTGACTTTAGAGGGACACATCAATCAGTTGCCTTCCACATGACCCCTACCAGGGCTGGGGACTGAACCACAATTGAGGTAAGTGCCCTTGACTGGAATCAAACCGGCAACCCTTTGGTCCTTGGGCCGACACTCTTAACTGCTGAGCCAAACTGGCCAGGGTAAGACATTTACTTCTCAAAAGGGCTTCAGATTTAATTTTTAGAAGGAAAGGAGGAAATAGATATGACCCCAAAGAGTGAAAAGTTAATTCCAGTTTTTGTTTTGCTTTTTTTTTATTGAAAGAGACAGTTCTAGTCATTAAAACATGAACTAAAAATCAAGAGCTTCACATGACATGGTGCTAGGCGTGAGTTGATGTTGACCAGGCAGGGCCTTCCAGAATTTGCTTGGTTCTTAATTCTAATGATGTAGTTTGGTATTTCCTTTGATAGCAATGATCATGTTGTCTTGATAGTTTTCCACCATACACTTTGCAGAGATTTTCACCTGATAAAGCTTTGTATTGGTGCTTGATCTTAATCAAAAGAACGAATGATAGATTGAGTTTTTATTCAGTTTAAATGGGGTAAGTGCTAAGCAGTCGTGAATTAGGAAACTCGAGAAGAGGAGCCTGGGACTGCAGGGTGGGGTGAGTGTAACCTTTACTTTAACCCTCAAGAGTAATATAGTACCATTATAGTTTGATGTTACTTCATAATTGACTGGAAGCTCCTTGAGGGTGAGCACTGAATTCTCCATCTGCGCATTGCTGGCTTGTAGCCCTGTATGGCTGGCACTGAATAGATACTTAGGAAACATTCCCTGAATTGGGTTGCCAAACGTTGCTTGTCTGTTTTCTGGAACACACTTAAGGGATTATTTAGGACTATGAGACAGGTCCTCTTTCCTCATGGGGCATATTCAATGATGAGTGTACAGTTTTTAGGAGTAACAAGGAGTCAGTGATTCCTGGGCTCTTTAGAAGATTATAGAGGAGCTGGACTTTGAAACACAATTTAG